TGCAAATCTCTTCAGAGATGAGAAGGAAGAAAAAAGAAAGAAAAAAAAAAAGAAGAAAAAAAAAAAAAGAAAAAAAATCTTCCATGGCACTTTTCAGCTCAGTCACCCCACCCCCCTTTGCATGGTGGTAGACATTTTGGTGAACCAAGATGAAAAAACTTTGAAAAACACAGTCGGTTATAGGCACTTCCCACAAAAACAAAATGGAAAAAATCCAGAACAATACGGTAGTATGTAACATCATCTAAAAAAAAAACAACTAAAAAACCCCCCCCACCATATCGTCAGCTAGCTGTTCACATACACTAAGCCCAACATTTAAAAAAAAAAAATTTCTTTTTCTCTTTAAATGCCGTTTCTTCATCTGTGGTATCAGTCACATGTGCTACAATATTTGGGCAAAAATCAAACTCTAAATGTTGAGAAAAAAAACCAACATATCGTCTGTCAGCTGTTCACACGTACTGAGCCCTACATTTACAAGTTAAAATTTTCTTTTACTGCAGTTTCTAAATCTGTGACATCAGTTGCATGTGATCCATAATTATCTTGTCAAAAATCAAATCTACATGTTGAAAAAGTGCAAGAAAGGATGCATAATTTGAGTACAATTTTCAAAACAATGAAACATGTTTCTTTTTCTCTCCAAGAAAATAATATACATAATTTGGGTACAATTTTTAAAACAATTAAAGAGTTTTGCTTTTTTAAAATATCTCCTGAAAAATTTAGCTTTCAGGGCTTAGAAAATTTGAACAGCTAGCTGACGATAATAAAAATATGCGATATTGTGCGACATAATGCTAACGCAATGCAAGTGGTTGTGACCTCTGCTTCTTAGCTGTGGGGAGGGGGAGGGGGAGGAGGGTTTTTTCAGTAAGAAAAAAAAATATTTGAAAAATTAATCATCAGAGTATTATGAGACACGGATGGAGTGTTCCAAAAACTACATCTTCCTAAAGGCTCTTTGTCTTCTCTACAGACATTCAGTAGCTCCGGGAACAGTTTTGAAATTCAAACAAGTACAAAAAGGGAGCCACCTTTTGATTAAAATAACAACAACCCAAAAACCCAAGAATTTTAACCCAAACTTTCCAATCGGAGAGGGGGTAGGAACAGTCACAAATATAGTCAATTTATCAATTTCTGATGAGGAACAATGCATCTGCAGAGCAGAATATCTTTAACTTCAAAACGAAATAGAAGAAACAATTAGGAATAAGACGACTATGGCTGATGAGACCCATTATGGAAGAGAAAAGTTCGCCATAATTTTAACGCTACAGCAAAACATTTTTTATTTAGAATTTTGCAAATACCCTGCACGTTCCTAACAAAATGTTGACATATGGCCAGCGGTAACTGACTAAATGTCCTACGCGATCGGATCGCTGAAACGTGGGAGTAGAAAATACAAATACCCCCTGAAGCACCTTACTTAGCAGGCTTTTATATAAATGTATTATGCAACGCTAGGCAAAAACAAAACAAGGAGGACAAGATTCTAGCACCAACTGTTTGAAGGAATCTTCCATCCAGCCAGAACAATTGTAGTGTCAAAGCACCTCAGCAACAATTTCCAACTCTATGTAAAAAATAAAAATAAAAACCAAACAAAAACCCCCCCAACAAAACATATATATAATATATATATATATCAAGTAATTCACAGCGTAAAACAGGTTTCAATTTAAGAAAACAACACATTGTTAGGGGGTCCAAGTTCTCTAGCAGGCCCATATTTCTCTACTATCTCTCTCTCTGTTTCTTTCATCTTTCTTCTTCCCAGTTCTGAAACACCTGGCTATGCGAATAAATAAGCTTCGTAACTACTTACGGTACACCCAAATTCTACCAGACTGCCCTGGGCTGATAAAAAGGGGAGAAGCCAAAAGACCTTCATCTCCTCAATTAACTTTCTCCTACTGCACTCTCTGTCTTTATTTCCACTTCTATAGAAGTGTTCACACTAAATGTATCTGTTGTTCCAAATGAACTCTGTCTTAGTTTCTACTTCTGTAGAAGTGTTTATCCTGAATCAACTTTCTCCTACTGCACTTTCTGTCTTTTCTTCTACTTCTGTGGAGCACAGTCCTGACCACATCCACACACCACATTCACACAAACAGACAGACAGACAGACAGACAGACAGACAGACAGACAGACAGACCGGCAGACAAACAGCTTTGTGCCAGAATCACTCTTGAGGTAGTTACGTCTCCATTTCTTTCATCTTTCTGAGTCAAATTTTGATTTGTTGGAAAATGTACACGTGTGTTATCTGTCCGATCGACCAACCAACGCTACCCTCCTCCGCGTATCAGAATAAAAAATGGGTCATGACGCAGTGGAATCAGGTGCTCGTCAATTTTTTGGGCATATTGAGTTATTGGTATCATCTTAAAGGTAGTTCATTTGCCTTGCTTTAGATAAAAAAAATATCTATTTATCTTGAATAGTTCATTTGCCTTGCTTTAGATGAAAAAAAAAATCTATTTATCTTAAACAGTTCATTTGCCTTGCTTTTGATGAAAAAAATATCTATTTATCTTGAATAGAAGTCGAGAGATAGATATTTGCGATAGAAGGAGGTGGGTGTCGCCTAGTTTCAGAAGTAGAATTCGCGAGAAAACGGCCCTTAAAGTTTGGTGACTTCCATAGCATAAGAGTCCTTGGAAACTGCAAATTTAATTTTCAAAGTGTTCTTGAATGGACATACAAAGTGTGGAGCCAAAAAATAAAAGTTAGAAAAAAAATGTCAACACTGGCCCAAGAATGCCGATTTCTCGGATCTCAATATTCTGACGAGCGCCCGATTCCACCATGACCTGACACAAAATTATGTCGTTGACAACCTTTCCATACCGTTGAAGTATGTCAAAGGAGTTTAAAAAACAAAAAAAAACAACCCCTACGCTTAACGTAAATCATAACAATGCAGAACAAAACATAAAAAGCTATAATGGTCAATCAGTGTCAATGACAACTCAAAATAGGTCAACAATGCTCTTAGTAATAATTTCTTAAAACGTTAAGTTTGGCTTCATAAAGTCGGCCAATTACTCGTAGATAATATCGTTGGTGGGTAACGTTCTTTTGGCTTAATGTCTTCATACAGTCCTTCATATCTATTTGGTAAAAACAGAAAGTAAGGTCAGAGATGGAAGTTATCAAAATACTTAATTTATAAAAACCTCAAATGTTTGCTACCAGATATCTTGATGTCAAAAAGCCTCGCTTCTCAATTATACTTGCTTCTTGAACAACACTGATGATTAGCACCAAAAGTCTTTATAAAACTTCAGCAATGCCACAATAAAATCTGCAAGTTCAAACAAAATTCTGATAACACAATACCCTTTTTTCCTTCTGTCCATCCTATTTATCCATTAACTTTTTCTCTCGTCACAACAAATCCTTCATTGCGATAACGAGATTCACTTTTACCAATCACTTTCCTAAAAGTACATCCACGGAAAAGTAATGCAAAATCACTTTGCGAATCAGGTCAACAAATAAGCAACAAAAGCAAAATATTGGGAGCGTTTGCATAGAATTTCAATGCTGCAGTTGAAAAAAAAATGAAAAAAAAGGGAAAAAATATTCTTTCAAAAGAAAATCAGTGATAAGCATTATGACACCTTCCACGAAGGTAAGAACACTTCTCTCACAGAAAATTGCGACCACCGTAGAGTCAAAAACAATTTTTCTTCCTTTCAAAAAAAAAGAATGGCCACTGCGACAGTCATTTTACCCTTAGACGAGAGGAGAAGTCGAAAAGACTCTCAACCACGAGGGGGGGAGGGGGGAGGGGGATTCCCCTCCATACAACTTCTTCCGTTATAAATTATAATGAAGAAAAAACCCAACAACATTGCTATAGAAGAACAAAATCATGCATAGAACAAAACAAGATGCCATTTTCTTCTTACACATCAGAATAGGTGAATGTGCTGCCAACAAATATGCCTTGGTTTTGAAACACTCATCTCCCCCTCAAAACAAAAATTAAAAATATATATATATATATATATATATATACAGGATTTAAAAAAACATTCTACAGGATATGCGTACAGTAAAGAAAGAGACAACAACAATGTTCCACTTTATTTATGACCAATTTTCCGTCTGGCTTCCGGAACAAAAGAAACTGAACACTTTCTTCCTCTTCCAACCTTTCCAAAACAACCCACCCCCAAAAATCCTCCTCAAGTTTACACATAAATATTTATCTGTCTATCGCATCGTTTCCCGGCACTAAACCGCTCTCGTCAAGCGTCTCGTGAATTAGTGGTTAGGCTACCGGACTCGTAATCGTGAGGTTGTGAGGTCGGGGGTTCGAGCCGCGGGCCCGAAGTTGTGTCCTTGGGAAAGGCACTTTACACGAATTTTCCTCACTTCACCCAGGTGGAAATGGGTACCCAGATATAGACAGCGAAAGATCTTGTCAATATGTTAGTGTTTTAGCGCCTATAAATGGCTGCTTGCACTGTATGCTTCCCAGGAAGTTAAGTTTGTTTCAGAAAGCTCTCAGGTCTGCTGGGGTAATAGTATAGATTGTGAAGCGCATAGAGCTTCCTGTTGAGCGGGGATTTGCGCTATACAAATGCTATCTATTATTATTATTATTAACTTCTCTCAATCCAAAACCAGCACACATGTTGGCAGCAGAAAAACCTAACGACGAAATGACGATGACAAAACATCACGTCTGTACATTATGCCAGACAAACAGTCAAATATTCTTCAACACGTTTGCCATCATCACATAATATGCTTGTCTCTTTTTTTTTTCTTTCTCTCATTCCAGCTGCAGTGTCTATCTCCATAACAGACCAAAAAAAAACCCAGCAAGAGAGAAAAGAACATTGCCACAACAAACAAATCAACTCCACATCTTGATGCATAGTTTTACCTGATGCCAGCTTGCATGAACTTCTAACATAATTATAATAATAATTATAATAATAATAATAATAACATACAATATATTTCATGATGAATTATGGGATTTAAATGTACAAATCAATACGTCCAATAATACATATTATACAGAATGGGACAAAATCTCTCGTTTCTAAGGGCTGCAATTATTGAGGATAAGTACAAAACAAACAACAACAGAAAAGAAAAAAAACCCACCAAAAACCCCCAAACAAATACAACAACAAAATTATTAAAAAACCAAACCACATAGACAAATTACCACCAAAAAAAAAACAAATTAAAAAAAACAAAACGCGATGAGAAAAAACAACTATTGACATATCATCGTTCTATGAATGAAGAGCGGGTGTGTGTGTGCGAGGCTTATGTGGAAGCACGGATCGCTGGTGGTGCTGGTAAAATCATCATCGTTATCAGGGAAGACAACTCTTGTTCTCACAGTTCTTTATCACCGACCAGAGTTACTTTCTCTTGTCGTCTCTCGTCGCGACAAGTCAGTTCCATCCATCTGTCAGTCAGCATCGTCGCCGTTTTCGTCGTCGGTGGCTCAACACAAATCTCACGCGAGCGCGAGAAGTCTCAGTAGAGTAACGCAAGTGTGAGCGAAGTCACAAAGTTTTGTTTTTGTTGTGTGTTTTTTTTACACATAATCTTGGGCCCCCGTTTTTCTTCCGTATTATTCTCGTTATATTTTTTTCTCAGTTGTACGTGCGTGCGGCTTGTACCATGTCCTGTGAAGTAACAAACACTCCACACGTAGTTTTTCGCGTATTTACAGTAACAGACCACTTCACACAAATATAGTACGCCAACACCTTCCTTCCTGCTGTGCACACTTCTACTAAGAGAATCTGAAAGCAGTTTAGTCCAGCTCTTATTTTGATTTTTTAAATATTAAAAAAATCAAGGCTTGACAACTAATACTCTCAGCGAAAAGACAGCATTCAAATTTGTGCTTGCTTGCTTGCTTGCTTGCAGTGGCTGTCAATTCCCTTCATTGACTTTTTCATCAAACATTGTATCTTCACGAAGCGATACTTCACCAGCTCAGCTCCGACGTACATGCGAGAAGGAAATGACGACACATCCCACCGGAGGGGGGCCCAAGAAACACATATATATATATGACACGACAAAATTCACTCACACGAAATCTCCACTCCGTGGAAAGTAGAAACCAGCTGACGACACCAACAACCCTTCTCTCTCTCCGTCTCATCACACAAAAGCTCACAACAGGTTTTTTTACTGAACTCGCAGCGTTTTAGTTCCGCTGTTTATCTTTGTTCCATATTGTTTTTTGTTTTTGTTTTGTTTTTTATATCACAATGGAACCGATCTGTGAGTCACCCTCAGAGGCTCAAACTCGTCGCTCTCCGCACTCGAGGCTGACTGCGCCGAGTCCTCGATGCTCTCCAAACTTCCGTTGTTTCCAAAATTAGAGTCACAGCCATTGGCCCCGACCTCCGACCCCGAGTTGGAGCTGGAGCCCGACTTGCAGTACGAGGTGAACTCAAACGTGCCCTCTGGAGAGACAAAACGAAAAGAAACAAAAATATTAGTAATTGGATTAAAAGACAAAGATCAAGATATCAAGTTTATTTTTAGTTTTAGTTAGAGTTTTACAGCACTTGAAACACAATAAGGTCATATAAGTGCCAAAGATTAGAGATGTTACAAGAGAGTAACAAGCACAAAAAATGAGGGGAGATAGAGACGATAGATGTTTGATAGGAAAGAAGTAGCAAACCACACCAGAGCAGCCGCCAACCACTATTATCATACTTTTTTTCTGTATACAAGATACTTTTTTTTCTTTTTCAATGAGTCAACAATTACTAATACAATCGAGTATCAAAAGCACATAGCAAATTACACAAATAATCAACGGAATATATCCTTCAACTGCATTTTTAAATGTATAAAATGAAATTGTAAGTGACGAAAAATGTCCACATCCTGCTGATTTAGCTATATATGCACACTACTCTGAGTATTTTTTTAAGCTAACACAACAAAAGATTTAAAAAAAAAAGAAATTTAAAATGAAAAAAAAAACCCAACCAAAAAA